GTTTGTTGTGGGTTTGTTGTGGTTTTGTTGTGGGTTTGTTGTGGTTTTGTGTGGGTTTGTTGTGGTTTTGTTGTGGGTTTGTTGTGGGTTTGTTGTGGGTTTGTTGTGGTTTTGTTGTGGGTTTGTTGTGGGTTTTTTTAATGTATTTTCCCTTTATTTTTATAAAGATTTATAAATTTCAAAATTTGAACTGAAATGAAAGATTTCTATTGGTTGATGACAAATGACATCATTTTGCACTTTTTTGGCTGATTTGACCTTGTATGTGCACTTAGAAATACCTGCGCATTCCACAAAAGCTTCAGTAATAGTTGAAAAAATAATAAAAGAAACAAAGAGAAAAAAACAAGCACTTTAATAGAATGAATCGAACAAGCTTTTATAAATATTTATGCAAATGAAGAGAATGGCTTGATAGTATTGTATTTAGTAATTAACGCCAAACTTAAATTCCCGTTGGTGACATATTGATGTCATGTATGTTTGCATTAAAGGCACACAGTCAGCAATCACGTGCTGTCAACAGTATTAACTTGCATTATTGACTCTCAGAAAGCTTCATTAAAAATGAAATGTAAAAATAAAACTTTGAATACAGTATATTAATTTTATTTATACTAACAAATTTCTGTTTACAAAGAAGAGGGACTGAACAGATACAGCAACTGTACTGTATTCAAATTTATCTGATGTGTGTTGTATTGCTGTGTCTGTTTCATCTTTCATGCGCTGTATAATATTCAATGCATTGACTGGCATATATCATTTGGAACTTGACTTCAATCTCAAAGTATTTTGTATGATTTCAAAAGGGTCTTCTTCATTTCATATCGTTCGTTTTCTATATTCTGTCTCAGGGTTGCCAGTCTACACCATGCTGAAAAACATGGATTCCATTTACTGTGTGTTCTTATTGAAACACAGTTGGTAACCGCTGACAAAGAAATTTGGAAATTACTGGCACATGGCACTTGTCAACCCACACAGTAAGTATCTTCATTTTTTTTTAAATTTCATAAAATTTTGATGTCAGAATTTTAGTGTTATTTGGCCATGGTTTGAAATTGACAAAGGCCATGAAGGTGATTGCCTTGAAGCCATCTAGCTAGATAATTGAACATTTCTTGCACAATTTTAATCAATCAATTCTCTTCAATCCTCACACATACTTTATCTGATACATATGCACATGTAGTGATTTTTAGATTCAGTCATAGATGGCCGACTGGTGGCCATTTTTGTTGTAACAAAATGCTAAACTCAGGTCTGTTTGACATGTCCAGAAGCAGAGCATGGTCATGTGTGGTTTGATTTTCTTCAAACATGGTGGAAAGAATAACTATTACTGGAGGTTGATGCGCTTCACTATTCATTTGTAAAGCCTACTCATGATTACCGTCTTGATTTATTCATCAGGTCACTCAACTACTGCATCATCAAATGCTTTTTGCATATGTACAATTCTTGAACTATAAAATAGTGATGTAAAAATGTTCACTATGAGCTAGACTAGTTAAGTTATCCTTAAATGTGTGTTGTTTTGAGATATAACGTGATATCATTCATTCTCACATGCATAACATGTGTATCATCATGATATACAGGTTTTTACTCTGCTGTTATATTCTATGTGACACACCAAAAACTATTCTACAATTATTTACTTTATGAGAATTCTACATATATGCTTTATATGGTCTTTAAGTACACAACTGGGACTGTGTTTTGCAAAATGCTTATACACATATGTTTCTCTACTTACCATGTTTGTCATTATTTACTCTGAAGGAGTGCTGTACAGTGCCTTTCCATACTTCTCAAACACTGCCAAATTCCAGAGAACCTGGAACCAAATGCTACCATTGCCATGGGAATCGTCACTAGGAATTTCCCCTTAAGACATATTTTACTAAATTGGATACTGCCAAATGAAGAGAATGGTGATGTGTCTGAGAAGCAACATAAAACAGTTGACAGGTATGCAATCTGACATACAGACAGTGTACGGTACATTGTGCCCTCTATGGTGTATGACACACCATGGCCAAAAGAGGTGCTGCAATGTAACTTGTTGTGCTATTTCACTGACATGTTATTAATACAACAAAAGTTCATACATTAATAATAGTAAGCTTGAAAAACATCTTACTATACCGTAGTTGTTCAAGTATAAACCCCTGCTCGAGTATAAGCCCCCCCCCCTCCAAATTTTACAACAAGTCATTTATCAAGAGGGGTTTATTCCCTACTACGGTAGTTATGGAATTTGTAATTTGGTAAAATGAAATTCATATTTTATTACCGGTAACAAAATAACTAAATATGGAGGAAATCGGGAGTCACAATATTTTGTTTTTGCCTAAAGTCATCTATACACTCACATACAGTTTTATTTTTTTCTTGCCCAAGCAGGCAACAAGTTGACTCAACTTGATTTTTGGGGACTCCAAATCAGTCCTGTTAGACGGCACACTGGTACAATGAATGATGGGACTGTTTTATATGTGGGCCATGCATGTTGCATGATTGCTTGTGACTCATCAGTGAAACTAAATTACAACACACTGGAATGCAGTTTTTGGGAAAAATAATTACCAGCATGACATCAATACTTTTCAAAATGTTCTTCCCTTATTTATTAGTCAGCCATCTCTGAAAAATTGCATTTTCGTTTTTTATTAGAACTTTTCATAATAAGGTAAAACACTGATACTTGTGTTGATACGGCAATATTAACAGCATGCTGTGACAGGTGTTAGAGTATTTGCTGCTTGTTCTGTATGTAACCAAATACTATGTTTATCAAAAAAACAAAGGCAATGTACTTGAAGTTCATAGAGGGCGCTATACATTTTTATAATTTTCGTAACACCTATTTTACCACTCCAAGTCATTACCAAAGCTATTGATTTCAAATATTCTTTTCTTTTGTAGACCTTCTGTCACTGTTATATCTGAAGTACTTGCTATCCTGACTCAGCGATGTACTAGTACAATATCACCATGGAAACCACAGCTTGAACACTGCCAAAATAAAGTTTTACAAGCGACTGAGGACATTTACATGAAGTCTAGTTTTGATCTGATAGAGGGGAATCAACATGGGAAGGAATCATTCCAGGATAATAGAAGACAGAACAGTACACTAAATGTTGTATTAAAGTCATTGATACGAATGCTTGACGCAACGGCTGATAGATTATTGGAGATTACATCCACTGAGGTGAGTTGTCTTGAAAAGTCACTGAATTCAGAATTGGTTGCCATAGCAACTAATTTTATCATTTTACATGGTGATCCTAATAATCAGGTGGGAGGTGTTCTGCATATAATACAAAGTGATAATGCACCTTGAAATCAACACTTTACATTTTAGTCCTCAAAAGTGTATTGTTAAATTGTTGACAATATAGATTCTGGAAGAGCTATTAACATCTGTAGTCTGTCTTAAATTTCAGGTTGTGCACGTTGAGAATATGGTTCATCACTGTGCTGTTATCACCAAGGTGATGTCATGGTTGCTAGGATACCAAGCTATAACCAAAGATGATTTGCATCATTCTAAGTTATTCGGTCAAATAAAAGTGAGTTCCCATAATTCTTAAACATACATACAGTACAGTCTAAGAGTAACTTAACTTCAAAGCTACAATTGTACCTACAATAGTATCACCATTTGAAATGTACATGATTGGCAGCATATAACCATGATATATCATCATATGATGCCGCAATGTATGTGTAACACTTATGAAAATTGTCACAAAAGACAAAACTCTACATTACATAATAATAATAATAGTTTATTACGCGACTGTAATCTGCTGTGGATACAGTAAGGTAAAAATAGTGTAAAATAAAGCAACTAAAAATAACTACAAATTTAAAAGTTCAACTACAACAAATCAGAAAGCAATAAAAATACAGTAAATATATCAAAGTAAAGGTTCTTCCTACCAATGGGTTTACACAGGCGGTGCTTTGTATATGGTATTTTTAAGATATAGAGACAGAGTAATGTTATTTTCCGTAATTTTTAAGAACATTACGTCGTTGTTCTTTTCACTTGAGGTAATTTCGCAGTTTGTCAGGAGGATTTTTCTTTCATTTTCAAAATGTGAGCAGCTCAAAAGAAAATGTTTTCATCTTTAATATCGCCTTGATCACATTTTTACAGACTCTTTCTGCTGCTGGTAATTTTGGTTTTCTCCTTCTCCCCAGTTCAATTTCCAAAATGTGATCACTAAGCCTGAATTTTGATAACATTCTACGTAAGCTAAAGTTATTTATTTCATTTAGATAATTTACAACTCTTTCTCCTAGCTGCTACTGAAAAGAATATTGATGAGTATCACTAAAGGGAGAAGAGATGCTGAGACAGCTCAGAGAGGGCAGTCTTTGTTGTGTAGCAATGTAGTCAGAGGCTTAAAGGAGATATATACATGGGATGCTCAAGATGCTGATGACAACATGACTGATGCCGTGTCTTGGATGGCATGCACTTGTAGAAACATCACACCTGCAGGGCTCGTAGATTTTTTGCTCAAAATAGCAAGTTGTAAGGTATGATAAAAGTTTTGCTGCAAAGTTTTCTATAAGCATGGGTTACAAGCAATGGCACGAAGCATAATGTGTTTAATTGTTGGAAGAGAAACCAACCATGAAATGGAAAACTTGGTGGATTATTATGTTCTGCATATGTTTCTTGGATATGTAACCGTTATTTGGAATCAAAACGATGTTACGTGGTTGCTTCAATTTTTAAAACACAATGACTGACATTCTGCATTCATACATTGATAACAAACATTATTTGTGGAGTCAATGGACCGGGAACACCTGACTATGTCCCAAACTTTCTGATTAATTATGCAGATTGATATTTACACTACAACAAATCAGTGTGCATTGGGAAGATGGTACAAACAAATAACCTTTGAAAAATAACATCCTATACAAATACCAAGGTGTTTCTTGCTTATTGTGTTCTTCCCAGGGTAGTAACCCGCAAAGTGGTAACCGCACTTCGGTTTTCATGACGATGGCCGAAGATGAGGTGGATGGTTTCATGGACGTTGAGTTTGATACGCCAGGTGATACAGACAATGGATTTGATGATTTCGGTGGAATGAATGGCGATAAAATGGAATTGATTGGCACAACAAATAATACCGGTGAGTGGCTGATTATTCAACTTTTTATGCTACATTCAGGTTATGGGATCTAAGCACGTGCCGAAAATCGTAATTCTTTGTGTTTGCAAAGAGTATACAGCAGTTGTGTTCACATTAGTCCTGTTTCAAAATCACAATCTCATTCTTAGATCTGTTATTGTGTTGTATTGAAATTATATATATTTGCTCTTATGTTATTAGTCCCCGTTCAGATGAAGTCCGAAAACGGGGACTTATAATTCGGTCTCTGTCCGTCCGTGTGTCCGTCCGGAGTCATATTTCAGAATCCCTTGCACCGATTCCGTTCATTCTTTGCATGTGCCTAGTACTTTATGTTAGACATATGCACATGCAGTGGTTTAGCGATTCGATTCAAAATGGCCGACTGACAGCCATCTTGTTTTTTTGAAAATGTTGTATTTTGGACATGCTTTGTCAGTTTTCATTCAATCTTGGTACATAGATTATACATGTTAGGATACATGTCCATGACGATTTATTTCACAATTGGATCAAAGATGGTCGACTGGCAGCCATCTTGTTTTTTGAAAATGTCGTATTTTGGACATGCTTTGTCAGTTTTTATTCAAATTTAGTACATACCGTATTACATCGGGTACGCGCCCCTCCCTGGGCAAGCGCCCATCCCCTGTTTTCACAAAAGTTACATGTTGGGGACATCCTCGGTTAAACGCCCAGGGTGATTTTTAGCCAAGAACGGGGTCAACAATAAAGTTTTATTAGTCAAAAACGAACGCGTTCGATTTATTTAAATAGTGTGTTTGTTACGGTAGTTCTCTTTTTGGAGTGTGTTGTGGCCCTGAAAAGGGCCGTTTTGTTTGTTTGTGTTTTTACGTAAAAGCAATTTACCAGCTGCCTCAAAATAACACCAAAAAATATTTATATAATAATATTTTCGCAGTATTACTATTTATTTCTTTTTTATTATTATTATTACTTATGTATTTTATTGTTCCTTATATCCTTATTGTAGTCTAATCTAGATCCCAGAAGGGATACGATATCAATAAAGGTTGTTATTCATACGTAAAAACTCATTGGAACTTAACGACGTAAGATGAACCACGCAGCATGTGGCGCACACGTTCTGCTTTCTCTTCATTCACGATGAATCCAATATTGCAATATTGCAACGATCCATTCCTTGGTGAGTGGTTTGAACCGGGGGTTTGAAGCACTTAGCTTTGGTTTCAAAACGTAGCATTTCGCTGACAGTGAATCCATAACGGGAGCTAGCACTTTTGAGACATCACGTCGTAAACTTGCTACTTTCTTTCCATCCTTCATCACAGCATGTGGATTATTTTTCTGTCGTTGAAGAAAAAACATTTTGCCGACCTCAAGTCCATTACGATAACCATAATGAGGCATGCCGACGATGGGAACTTGTTGCATCATCGTTATTTTTGTAATTTTGTCACGTGTGTGGGTGCGTGAATAAATCATATTAATGAGGTCGACCAGAGTTTATTTTCAGTCTGTTTTTTTATGTATCGCCATTTGGATATGTTTATGTATTCACAATAGTTTGTAAACATTTCACATCAGTAATAAAAGGTTTATTTGTTTCATAACCCTCTCTGCTCTTCTTCAGTAATTACGATGCGATGTATCACGACGTGCGTGAACAAAATTATGCTAATGAGGTCATCGCCATCTTGGATTACAAGCAGTAGTTTTTCCCGGTCATTTCGACTTGCACTGATCACAGTTACCGGTACTAAAAAAGTAACCGTGCATTGATTACAATACTTACCATACTTTGTAGCCAATTTCAGTGAGTAATACCACTTCATTCGCTGACATAAAACAAGTTTTATTCTTGAAATTCGACCCTGTGTCTTAGTGTTCCCACAATTCTTGACCGAGTGCTCACGTTAATTGAAACCTCGCATAAATCAAGAAATAAGTTCATGTACAAAGTGTACGAAAGCATTCCTTTATTTGACCTTATCATACGATCACAAAAACAACTTTTTAAAATCTTTTTTGGGGTGGTCCTCGGGTAAGCGCCCACCCCCAATTTTTCCCGATTTTGTATGTTCAGGCCCCTGGGCGCGTGCCCGGGGTAATACGGTAGATCATACATGTTAGGATACATGTCCCTGGCTGTCCGTGAGTTCCTAAGTCTGTCCGTCAGTCATCCGTGTGTCCTGTCCATAGCTGTACTTCCTCAGTCCGAGTCTCGGCATGTGCCAAGATCTCTAACGTGAACGCCACTATTATCTCAAGTTCGTTTAACTGGAAGTAATGAAATAAAATGATTATACTGAATAAACAAATCAAAAATTCAATCAATTTGATTAAACAAAAACAAATTTCAGTCGAACATTGCCACCATTTTCTTTTTGTCAAACAATACATTACATGTACACTGTATGGAGATAATAATTGTGTCTCTGAGTAAATATGTCATGTGACCAGATCTAACCAATCAGAATGAATGTATTAAAAATAATAGATGATAACACTTTGCTTACAGCCAAGCAGAGTATATTGCTGACTGACATATTAACAGAGCCACAGAGACTGTGTTTGGACTGTATTCGGTTACTATGCACGTGGTGTGTTAGTGGTGCTACTGATGAAAATACTGTACATGGAGTTGATCCAGTCTTAGTGAAAGAACAGTTACTAGACTTGCTAGATGAGGAGGTAGGTTAGGTAATTTTTAGTCCCCGTTCGGACGAAGTCCGAAAACGGGGACTTATAATTCGGTCTCCGTCTGTGCGTCCGTGTGTCCGTCCAGAGTCATATCTCAGAATCCCTTGGACCGATTCCGTTGATTCTTTGCATGTGCCTAGTACTTTATGTGGGACATATGCACATGTAGTGGTTTAGCGATTCGATTCAAAATGGCAGACTGGCAGCCATCTTATTTTTTGAAAATGTTGTATTTTGGACATGCTTTGTCAGTTTTCATTCAAATTTGGTACATAGATCATACATGTTAGGATACATGTCCCCGACCATCCGTGAGTTCCTGAGTCTGTCCGTCCATCCGTGTGTCCGTCCGTCTGTGCGTCAGTCTGTCCAGTTTCATATTTTAGAATCATGTGGACCTATTCTGTTCATTCTTTGCATGTGCCTAGTACCTTATGTGGGACATATGCACATGCAGTGGTTTAGCAATTCGATTCAAAATGGCCGACTGGCAGCCATCTTGTTTTTTGAAAATGTTGTATTTTGGACATGCTTTATCAGTTTTCATTCAAACTTGGTACATAGATTATACATGTTAGGATACATGTCCATGACGATTTATTTCACAATTGGATCAAAGATGGTCGACTGGCAGGCATCTTGTTTGTTTTTTTATGCGGTATCTTGGACGTGCTCTGTCAGTTTTCATTTATATTTGACACATACATCATACATATCAGTGTGTTTCATAATCAGATCAAAGATGGCCAAATAACGGCTGTTTTTATTTTTCGGCATATTACTACTACAAGGAACATGTGTTTTGATGTAAATAAACAATCTGTTGTATACGCCACTTGAAACTTAAGTTTCAAGGACACGCTCGCGACAACCCCTCCGCTTTAATGTGACGAGCACAAAGAGAACTTAAAATTTAAAGGGAACTGTGTCATTTTCAATGACTTGTTTTACTTTATTTGGTCCTGTGTATGAGTTGCTGTAAATATTCAGAAATTTTTCAAGAAATATTACAGGCTACGTGAAACATACAATATTTGTACATCTACATTCATGTTTCTATTCAAATGAAAGTGGAACAGACAATCAAAATACAGGTCCAAACAATCACTATAGTAAAGAAAATTATCGACAATTGTACTATTAGTAGTGAAAAATAACTATTTAGCAGAATCTAAATTTATATAGAACAGCTTTGACAGTTCTGAAGTGAAGGGAAAGTCATAGTCCTCCGGCTTTGCTATCATCAACATCATTGTTAACTTTTTTTGTGGGTGTGATTCCTTTATAATACTTTGCAATTCAATTCAAAACTTGTACTTTTCTAAGTCAGTGTTGTGTCACTAAATATTATTAGTATTAGTGCTAAAACCTCAAAAATGCTTTATGAATGAATCTCAGAGTGCAACTTATGATTATGATTTTGTTCTGTCGGTTGGCCTGCGCAAGAAATGCAATTATTTATCATCAAAGTAAGTTTTGTTTTAATTTATATTTACAGACGTTTGATGTTTCTAAGCCATTTGATTTGCAGATGGTAAGTTTGTTATTGAATGCATTTAAGATTTAGTAGTTAACTTTCTACCGTAATAGACCCATTTTCTATTCACTGGTAAATCCTGCGTTATGCGTGAAACTAAAATTAAGAGTAGGACAAACAAAGGTCATAGTGTTGTAGTGAGGTCAAAACATCGCGTGGGCTTCAACAAACACGAAAGTTCATTTGGGTATTTCTACACTTTTTAATATGACATACACATTTGATGATGGTCAATTCCAATGATTTGGCATTTTGACATTGAGCTATAAAAAAGAAATTTAAATTTAAAATCAAATCATTTAATTTTTGTGCAGATGTTATGGTTGCGCATTTCACACAATACGCAACATCTCACAGAAAATCATGTACTCTTTGTAACTTGCACTAAAGTGTAAATATGTTGTAGATTTCTGTTCAGTCATTGCCGTAACTGTTATAAGTAAATTTTCATGAAGGTGTGTGTTATGTTGTACAATTATGAACATTTTCAATCTTCAATATTATTTATTTACTGTACAGTTTGTGACAATTTATTAACTCATAACAACCTACTGAAGGAGGTTAAAGGTTACAACAACAACAAAATTACAGATAAAAATTAATCAAATTACAATGGCTAATAGTTTAAAAGACAACCAAAAACAGACTAAATTGAAGTTCGTAACGGAAATATATAATATAATAAAATAAAATAAAATAAAATGAAACACCAATAAAAAACTATTTAAAAAACTACTGTTGACTGCTTAATATTTTTAGAATTCAATATTTCTGTTTTTTAGTTCTTCACCATAGGTGATGGGTTCCTGGCAGAATGTCCACATGTTCTAGATTCACATTTAGAAATCCTACTAGATGCACTCAAGTAAGTGTCAATCATTCCTTACTTACACAGATCAATAAGTTAGTCCTAAACTGACAACTGTATATTAAAAGGATCTAAATGTATCACTTATATCTAATTGAAATGATGCATTATTACAGAAGGGTTGCATCAACACACAGAAAAGATCAAGAGATATGTTCTGCAGTCCTGTTATTACTTGCCAGGATTATTCCATGTCTTAATCCATGCACAGTACAGGTGTCAGATACAATGGAAGATGCCAGAGAAATTGCCTTACACCTGCTATCTGTCTTCTGGTGAGTGATTTAACGCTGTTTTCATTAAGTACATGCCTATCATATGAGTACATGTGTAGAGAATACTTAAAGCGAGCGAGTCGTCACCTACACATGCGTCAGGTGGCCATATCATTGTTTACTAACAAACGTCTGAGCCTTTGGGTTTTTAGCGTGTGTTGTTATCATCGCTTGGGACTCAATTCTCGCGTGTGCGCAGGTGACAACCCTCTCGCTTTTGAGTTTCTAATTAGAATAGTATGAGGTTATTGTGAGGATATTGCTATGCGCGAAAACAGTGCAGCGAGAATATTGACCAGCATGCATCAGGGGCTGATGTACCTGTACTTGTACTTTCTGAGTGCATACTTTGCGGTGTACTTATAATAAACTTTATTATTGTCACACGCAACGTAATATTACCGTAATTGGTATAGTACAGGTGTGATGGTTCAAATACCAAAATGGCAACAGTAACAAAAAGACTTCCCTGGCGGCGATGATAAAATACGAACACGGAGCCAACAGATGAGGTTTCAACTGGTACTGGTATTATTATACTCTGCAAACATCAAGTACAATAACGCGGTAAAACTCCACTACTCCAATAACTAGATACTTAAACTCCAAAACAATTCAACGAGATCTCCGATCTGATCTCAGTGCTGAACAACTCCCCTATATATACCCACACTGTCTATAAATAGACCATTACATCAGCATACATAATGAGTCTGGAACTTACTACAAATTTCTAGAATGTTCCATTACCTTCTATTGCCTTCTACAGTGTCCTATTACCTATTCAACCAACTTCTAAAATTCCACCCAGACACAGTACGGTTCTAGAACATTCTCAGTCACACGGAAGTGGTAAACAAGTCGTATGCGACAATTATACACATTCTGATCCAATCACTTGATGCAGAATGTCAAGAACTGATCAAAACTCTCATATCATTGGAACTTTTGTGCTTTAAACTTTGTTTTTTTACAAAAACGTTCCAATTTGTAATTCAAATTTTCTAATATGAGAGGATACAGATAACCTGTGCAATACTGTGAAATTATGGCATGCTGTAACTATGACGATATGATGACAGATGTATAATCATAATTTTTATTGCATTTGTGTTCATAAGATTTTGAATGAAATCAAATATAGATGTGGGGAAAAAACAGTAAAAACATTAAATTATAAAAACTAAAAAGCAATTTAGCAAAATTAATTATTTACAATATTTTTTTAAATGAATCATGTGTTTTAAATTTTTCTTCCCTGATCTGAACATCCACCCATGCATTTTTGTATTTGTATTATTATGTTATTTATATTAAAGTTCACAGTTTTCATAAAGAAATTTAGCATAACTTTGTTTTTGTATTCAGGAAACTGCAAAGTGATGGTCAGTACTCCTCATCTGCAAGACTAAACTTAGTCAGGTGCATGCAGGCTTTTATACAGATAGACCCACATGGGAAATGGGCAGTCATGAAACAGAAAGCTAGAGAAAAAGGTGGTGGTGATAGAGATATGGATGTTTCATTGGCTGAACAGTTTCCTGATCTCCTGAATGATAGATGCCATGGTGTCAGAATGCAGGTAGCTGAAGCTGTTACTGGGTAAATCTGATTTATTTGTGTTTAGTTATAAACTGAAGTTAGCAAAAACATGTTTATTTTGATAAATTTAAATCATTTTTCTTGTAATTCAAATGAAACGACTGGATTGGCTGGCTGGTTTCATGATTTGATTTGCAAATCAATCAGACATAAATTAAATCAGCCTACATCGCTGCTGTTTGATTTTATAAAAATTTAGGTTTATGAATAATTCATACATGCTTTAGCTGATTCGTAATTCGTATGTTTGCAAATAAAATAAAATTCAGCTGACTGAACGTGCAGGAATTGAGTCCCAAGCGACGATAACAACACACACTAAAAATGCAAAGGCTCGTGGGCAGACGTTTGTTTGTAAACAAATGACACGATATGGCCATGATGACTCCCTCACTTTAATAATTTTTTTCCTGTGGCTAGACTCTTTGTGATGAACAAGCCTGACATTGATGGCGATGCCTTACAGCCCTTATGTACTGATTTGCAAGACATGGCATTTACAAAAGTTTTAGGGTGTGTACAAGAAGCTGCTGTAGTGCCCGTAAGTATTTTATTCGTTGATTGTCTTCACATTATTGTATATAAATATATCTGATCTTGGTGTTCTAGGTTTAAGTTGCACTCTCAGATAATTCATAAAATTATTAGATTCTTGGGACTATGTGAAATATTTGATGGTCTGAATTGCGTGCAATGTGCAGGAAAGATTTCCTATGATTCTGCCATTGAATTACAGCAGTGATCATTTCACTGTGGATGCGTGAATGAAAGCAACAACTAATTACCAACATCATCAGCAAACTTGCTAACGAATTGCCTGTGCTGATTCAAACTGCGTCTGGAGATTCGGCCATCCCATTGTCAATAGGAGGCTAAGATAGGGACATGATTGGTATATGAATTTTCCATAATTATTTTTATCGTTGTTGTAATTGTACTTTCAAATTTATTACATTTAAAATAGCAAAATATGAAAATTTTGCATAAAGCAACGACTTGAGAGTCCACCCTCTCAGTAAATAGCATTGCCTCCTTTTGAGAATGAGGTGGCCCAAAGTTTTTCAAATTGATAACCACTTCCAGACATCAGCACAGGCGATTCATTCGCTAGTTTGCTGAGGATTTCCATAATTAGGTGTTCCTTTCATTCACGCGTCCACAGTAGTTGTAATAGACATCAGAGTCTTCCACTTCTAATATTCTGGAACTGAATTTCAATCATGCATGATTGATGTTGTTAAAATGTGACACATATAATTCATTTCAACTCGAACTATATGATGAATGGAATTAATTTAATTATTTGTTATTCATGAGTTATTGATGTGTACATGTACCACAAAGGCAAATTCGTTTAATTAAAAAAGACAAATTCAAGGTTTGAAATGATTTTCACGTTTATGTTATTCCAGTCCTGCGTGAGTGTTGAAGAACAGGATGACGAGAGAAGCAACCGTGTCGCTAGTCTGTTGAAAACACTTTCTACAATTGCTTATCATAGTCCAGTCTGTGAAAAACGATGTGTGTTTGCTCTGATACAGGCAGTGAAGGAAAACAATATTGACATTGATCTTATGTTGAAGGTAATGTGGAGTTAACTTTCCCGATACATGTGTTCTGTCATTTAGTGATCAACATTAATGAAGTAATTGTTGCACCAAACAACCTTCTTGGATTTGAAACCAAAAAGGGGTCAACCTCCCTTTCTCTACTTAACCACTTCTTTACTCTCGGTGAGTGTGATACAATTGCTAACTGGTAGAATTTGGAGGGAGGGGGGGGGGCTTGGTTGCAGCAGACTTCTCTCAAGTGAGCACTTATGGCACCAGTCGTATGTGTATCACCAATTCCAAAATCAACTAAACAAAGATTATTAATTAAATGCAAGTAAGGCCACACTGATTTAATTTTATGGATGACATCCTCTGGAGACCCCAAAACTAATGCGAGAGGGCGAAAAAAAAAAAAATCCTGCCAAAAAAAAAAAAATCCTGCTAAGAAGCACAGGACTACGGAGCTGCTATTACGAATTGGACCACAGAACACAATGTATCAAAGAACAACAAGAAGTCTTTATTTGTAGGAGGCACATGTTGATATACACATCTCGTACTGTATTACTGTCACAGGTATAACCATTTCAGACAAGCTCTAGTACATGTAGTCATGATGAAGTACAGTAGAACGTCGATTATCCGAACGTCGATTATCCGAAATGTTCGGTTATCCGAACCTACTGTGTGTCCCCCAAAGTTTGTATGCAGGTCTGGCTGTGTTCCGTATAGTAATACAAAAGTCAACTGTGAACAATAAATACTACAGTCGCCTTGTGTGATTTCCTGGTGCAACACTTTCAATAAAGCTGTTATCAACATGTAATCCGACGTCTTTCACGTGTACGTTCATTGTTTACAGTGTCTGCGCAAACAATGAAACGAATTACAGTATCCAATAATTTCCTAAATTCAGACAAGCCTATTACGCCACACCAGTGTTCCACTGTAAATAAAAAATGTCCTAAAAACACAAACTTCATCAAATGTCTTCTCCACTGTTTACAGTCAGATCCTTAACTTTACCAAGTTGTAAGTCACCGCAGTTCGGATACGTTTCCCGGGAAAATTGTACGGTGTTCCACTGCCGTCAAAGAAACGCGACCATGAGCCGATCCTCTCGCAACGCGGCGTTTTCTTTTGAAGTAATGCGTGCCACGTTTGTTTAGGTTATCAGTTCTTATCGTACCGAGTAAACGTTGCTGAGCAACAAGATTTTCATTAGATCTCACAAAATAACGCGAGATCTATTCATATTACAATCAACTATAGCGATGCATCGCGAGACATAAAGACAGGAAGTGGCATAGACGACAGAAGTTGTCAGTGAACTTCGAAAATGGCATTTACGGAAAAATTTGACAAATCTGAGGACGATAATTACGAGTGGGAAGCTATTTTAGGAGAACATTTTGACGAAGATAATGACAATTTCTCTGAGCGATCTCGTCTTTTTCATTTCCTGAAATTAAGAATAAATAGAAATATACTGGGCTATTTTTATACAAAACTATGACGGAAGTCAAACAAAATCAGTCAAACTCGAAATAGCTACAATACTGACACACAATAGAAAATTGAAACAGTCACTGAACAACGCGTAGATCGCGTACTATGAAGTCGAACACGACAACAATAACACACCTCCAGTTTT